AACACCCATGATTGGTCTCAACTGTAATTATTTGTGAACTCTGGCACATAAATGCACTAATAGTGATTTACTTTCCTCCCCTCAAAAAATTCAAGGGTGATATCCATTCACTGAGTTTATTTTTAGACCTTTTTATCATGAAATAGAATATTTAACCATTTGAACAAAAACAATAACCACACCAAAAAATCCCATTATAAAACCTCAGTGGAGTAAATGAGTGATTTCTAAGTTACTTAGAAATCATCTGGACAACAGGCTTAAGGTATTAAAAAAAAGAACTAGTATTTAGGTTTATGTTAAAAAAATAACATATATGACTAAGAAGCACAATATTTATAACATTTTGAGGAAATAAAGGGTACAAAAGCCAGAAGGGTTGTTACAAGAATTTACTCACTAATGCTATTTTCCTGGGCAGATTTTTCTAAAGCAAGATTTCCTGACCATGCGTAACTAGTTTAAAGAAGCTTAGGCTTAAACAACTGTCTTGCCAGAGTTAAAATAACACTTTTGCCCAAAATAACATTGGTCAAATCTTTTTCTGGCTGCTGGTGAGTAGGATGTAATATTTATGAAGGGCCTGGTCTTTTGTTCAGTTAGAATTGGTCCACACTGGGTCTTTGCATAGGGGAAATTTACTTCCTCAACGGAGGGTTTAAGCACTGGAAGGTAGGCAGGTAAGAAGTGAGAATGGGAAGAAGGTTCATTCATAATTACAATGTCGTTTCATATTGGGAAGCAAAATAATACTATCTGTGTCACTGTGGGAATAGGGCAACAAAACTCACAGTCTGTGGGCTGCTCAGGGACTCTAGGTACCATTGGTCTAAACAAGGGAGGAGGCGCTATAAAATTGGGAAGGGAATTGTATGCTTAGCTAAAGAGCTGTGAGGTGGAGCTGAACTAATATTTGATGTTCACATTCACCACTCACATTTCTCAGAGAAACTCCTGCAAGTTAGAGGAAAAATCAGTTTTGGGCTGAAACCCCCCAATCTTTGTGCAGCCGTGAATCCAGCATCAGAAGAGCGAGTGCAAGGCTGGATTCAGAGCAGCAGCGGCTTGCTGTGACAAGAGAAAGGGGAATCAGCCAGGCGCCAGTGGCTCACGCCTGTAATCCTAGCTACTCAGGAGGCTGAGATCTGAGGATCAAGGTTCAAAGCCAGGCCGGGCAGGAAAGTCCGTGAGACTCTTATCTCCAATAAACCACTAGAAATTGGTAGTGGCGCTGTGGCTCAAGTGGTAAGAACACTCACCTTGAGCTGAAGAGCGCAAGGACAGTGCCCAGGCCCAGAGTTCAAGACCCATGACCGACAAAAAAAAAAAAAAAATAGAACGGGGAACCAGGATGCCACCTTCAGGTCCACCTTCCTCCAGGCTCTTCTCAAAGGCCTCTTTTCTAGAGCCCTGGTGAATATGTGTCCCAGAGTTGGCAGGACTTCGTACCCAGCCCCTCCTTGGCCTGACCCTTGGAAGGTGTGCATCTTGGAATGAGGAAACACCATTCTGTTCTGGGGCAGAGGCTGAGACAAGTTCAGTGTGAGGTCTCAGGTCAGGATCATGACCAAAGACCTTGGAAACCCTGTGCCCAGGAAGGGAGATCACTACTTGACCTTCCTGTGTGGGGGTGGGGGGTGGGGGTGGGGTGCTGGGGAGATGTGTGGCCTTGGGTCCTTGTTGGTTTTCTTTTTCCCAGCAACACTTGCCTGAGGCCTGGCCCCAGATGACCACACAGAAACACCTGAGGCTTGCCCAAGAATGTGAAGGCTTTTCTCAGAAACTCGTCAGCCGTGCCATGGGTGCCCAGGGCTCAGAAAGCTGGCTTTTATTATAATGAAGGATAAGTTCTGTAAACACAAAACAGAAAGCATGTGCAAAATGTTAACTAAGCACACTATCCAAATAGTAGGTGGACACAAAGGTCAAGGAAAATCAGGGTAAAAGGAAAGTGTATTTTGAATGTGGAAACTGACTACTACAACTTTTATCAGCAAGTATTACATGGGGAATATTTTTTTCAGGTCCCTGGAGTATTTTTCCTGCCTAATCTTGGAAGGGGGAAAAAATCAAGAGTCACTGGGCATGGTGGAAACACTGGAGATAGTTCAAAGGCAGTCTGGGAGATACACAGTAAGACCCTGTCTCAAAAAAACAAAAAACAAAAAAAACCAAGTCTAAATCAACACCCCTTTTCCTTAAAAAATAAGTCAAGAACAAAGCTGCATTTGGCAATGAGAACTGGAAGAGCCAATGTTTTTATTTCAATAACTAAAGTCTTGATTAATAGCACAGTATATCCTCAAATGTTGGCTTTTTAAGGCAGTTTTGAACTTTTATACAATCTGTTCTAAACTCTGGCATGCACACCTGGGTACATCTATATTGACAGTAACTGTGATTCTAACTCTTATTTTAAAAGAATCTGATAAAACTAAAATGTTAAGTGCGTACTATAATGAAAACACGGATGAGCACCAACCAGATGGCTTGTATTCCTTGGGAAATTATTTAAAGCTTTTTGAATTAGAATGATAGCTTCATTATCTAAAGAACTCTCTCTGACTAGAGATAAAGGCTGCTCATTGGTCCAGTGTGTCCCCAAGATTCACTGGTAAGACTCATCAAGGCAAGAATCATCATGGAGCACAATATATTACTCTTCAGGGTCACCCTATTTTCCTACTGAGTGTGAAGAGGAGGAATCTGAACTAATCTGGGGATTTCTTATGATCACGTTCCAAGCCCATCCTAGTAAACAGCAAATGAGTTTTGGAAACATATCTTCTAAAAGGTGTAGGTGGGTAAAATTACTTCATTTGGGGCTTGAACTCTGGGGTTAGGCGCTGTCCCTCAGCTCTTCAGCTCAAGCCTAACACTCTACAGCTTGAGCCACAGCACCATTTCTGGTTTTCTAGTGGTTTATTGGAGATAAGAGTCTCACGGACTTTCCTGCCCAGGCTGGCTTTGAACCGTGATTCTCAGATCTCAGCCTCCTGAGTAGCTAGGATTACAGGAGAGAGCCACTGGCACCCAGCTTTCAGCTGTCATTTTTAACAACCCTTATAAAAATACAAAACACTTAAAAAAAAAAAAACCCAAGCCAGGTGCCAGTGGCAAACGTCTGTAATCCTAGCTACTCAGGAGGCTGAGCTCTGAGGATTGCGGTTCAAAGCTAGCCCGGGCAGGAAAGTCCGTGAGACTCTTATCTCCAATAAACCACTAGAAAACCGGAAGTGGTGCTGTGGCTCAAGCTGTAGAGCGCTTGCCTTGAGCTGAAGAGCTGAGGGACAGCGCCCAAGCCCAGAGTTCAAGCCCCATGACCGACAAACAAACAAACAAACAAAAAAAACCAAAACACTTTTAAAACCAGTTTCATGCCAATGGAAAAAATAAGATACATTCCCTAGGACAACAACATCTGGTAAGCATGACTCTGCCTTGGCTAGTTTGCATGTGAATGGTGACAACCTATGCTTCCTTCTAAATGTCAACAGGGAATTTAAAAAGGCTTAGCTAAACTGTCTAGATTTAGAAAGAGTCAAAGCTCAAAAATTGACTCAAATGTCAACAGTACTTTTTTTTTTTTTTAAAGAAATCCCTATTTTCTAGAAAGATAGGAAAATAAGATATCCAGGAAGTTTTATTTTGTTGATTTTTTTTTTTTGCAAAAAAATCTACATGTGGTGAAGAATTGGATGAAAATTAATAGATGGGTGAATAAGTCAGCTGGGAGGAAGAGCAGCCATGACTGTAACACCTGCTGTACTGCCAGGTGGGCTGGGGCTGGGGGGAGCTGCTAGCATCAGGACAGCTCTACCAGGTGCACCAGCACCTCCCTTCACAGGTGGGCCTTCAGTGTCCAGCATCCCACACCTATAGGCTGGTTCCAGTGTCTGTGTCTAACCTGTCCACCAGGTTGTTCTCTAAATGACCTCAACCACATAATCACTTCTATCTTACTGACACCAAACCAAAGTGAGATACGGAAGTAGGGCAAGCTGACTCTACTTAAACATGTCCTACCTAAAGTTTTCCTATGAGAACCCCAATTCTCATAAAGTACATTAAATAAATCTACAAGCAGAAGCAGATTCATTTTCACCAAGAACTATCTAATTGTCCAAATAGTGTCTCCAAGTTAATTTTTTTAAAACTCCATTCTATTTTAAACATTTTCTTTTCGTATTTATGGAATAAGGAGTTGTAAAATGTGAAGGTTTTTCAGTCAGCTATACTGAAATGTTCAGAATTATATTCAACTAAGTTTTTAAGTGAATGAGCAAATTAAACTGATAACTTCTCAAAAAGTATCTGTCTAGACATGTAGTCTGAGTTCTTAAAAAACAAAAGCATCAAGTGTAAAATGGTTGGAATGTGTGTGTTTCGAAGGGGCAAGACACAGATTCAAAGTGATTATCCTTCACCTTTGAGGCGTTGTTAATCCACTTTACCTGAGGGTGAAGAGTTTTATTTTCTATCAATTATAAAAAGAAAAAAAGCCTTGGTAAGAATATATTGCATACCTAGCCAGAATTAGCAATATGTGTCCCAGAAAGGTATAGAATGTAGAATGACTTCAATGAACAGGTTCAAGATGGATGAAATTTAACAATTAGTAACTTGACATAGCTATTTGCTTAGCCTCTAAAAATATAGCTGAGGCAAGAATTTCCATACACGTCTATATGTATCTTTGCAAAGTAAGCATTCTCTAGTGATAACTGATAGAGAATTAAACAAGTTGGGTACTTGCTTTATTTTAAAGTAATTATGTCTCTGTAATAACCACTTTTGTCAATTTATCTTTCCATGAGAAAACTCAACATTTAAAGGGCCCAAAAGGAGGTTGATCAAATTACTTGATTTTTTGGAGACATTCATAAACCTAGCTCATTGGTTTTGTGTGAGAGAGACAATGTCATAGAGAAGTAAAAACAATCAGCCCTGCCCCTCCCAGACAAGCCACAGCTGGAGATAAAATGACTAAAACTATTCTATAGATGTGTCTTATTTTTAATGCATAGAAAATAGGAAAACTGTCATGCCAACACATGGAACATATACTACAATTCATAAATGCCTAATTATCAAAATAATGATATAGTCATGGCTAGATGCAATCTAAAAATCTAAGATGCAACTACATATTTTATGACCATTCCTTTTATATATTACAGTCAATCCTCATCAAAATTGGCTGACTATGTATAATGGCATTTGAAATAAATATTTAATATCACAACAGGGTCATATTCTGCTACTGTACAACCAGGGCATGCATAACTAGGCATGAAGTGTAAGTGTCATTACCTTCCAGTAAGCCAGAGAACATGAGAGTACATATGCAGTACTAAACATCAATTAGGGTTAAGTGACGTTCATATTAAACAAAACTATATCATAGATAGCAGCTGAGGATATCTCTGTCATTGTTCTTAAATATCCTGTAGTCAGTCACCTTGAAATTAAAAACTGTAATTCCAAACCAGATCTGTTAATGCAACTGAGCTTCTTCGGTCAATATTAGGACACAAGTGATTCCGTATTCCAGTGTGGAAGCTGTTTGATTTGGCTTTTCCTCTCTGCGATAATTCGTAGTTCTGAGTCATTCAAGAGTGGGTTGAATGTGGCCAACAATAACCTTATTTTGAAGCTGCAGACTTCCTTCGTGACGCTGATGTGTGCGTGTGAGAACAGCAATCTTGCTGCTTGCAGACAACACTCGTCTCTGCTCCAAGTCCACATGGAGTAGGTGGCAGGAAGTAGCTTGGAAAGCATGGCCTCTAGAATACATTTCATAACATTTGTGAAAGGTAAATGAAATCTAGCAGCTAGACCCCAAAAGCCAAAAGAAAAGGTGATGTTCCTATAAGAACGCAGGTGGATCTTTTAGGTCTAGGCAATTAAAAATGACCACATTGGAGCAGCAGTTCACTCTCCAGTCACCATTTCAGCTCTCTTTAGGTCATGATACTGGAGGCTGTTTTGGGAAGGAGGGAGAAATTCATTGCTGGACAGGATTTCCATGCTCCATCAGCTCTGATAATGAGTTAGGCAGTTGGCACAGATGACAGGAATGTCCTCTACATCAGAATTCTAATAAACCTCCTGTAAACTTGTGCACATTTACCCAAACGGACTCATGCAGTCTATATTCCAGTTAGATGGAAACTGTTATGCTCTCACATTGAGTCTGGGCATGATTTGGTCATGTGAAATACTAAAACACTTTACCTACATCCTACCAAATCAAAATCTCGCTTTCACATTTACAATGTGATAAAACAGCATTTAAAGTCATTACAATTTCTTATTTCCTATTCATATACAGGTAACTTAAGATTACTAATGAGGCAAAAACTGTACAGTTTTCATTATTTCAGCATTATAAAATGTCTTTCCTTAAAGTCTTGGGATATAAACAGTTGATTTATAGGAAGTACATATCTTTCATCTGTATTAAGAAACAATATACATCTTTTTTTCCAGAGTAATTTAATGTTAGCTATGATAATCCTAAGATATTCCAAAAAACGAAAACAAAAAACCAAAACCCCTGACTTTGTCACCTGTGACCTTCAATACTGTTACTTTTATAAAACTCAGGAACATTCTTTGGCCACTTGGGACACTGCCCAATCAGAGGGAACTGTACTTGGGCTCTGGATCATAAGACACTGGCCTCTGGAACCTGAGACCACAGAACAGCTTTAACGGAAGCCATTTGCAAAGTAAATCAGGACAGAGTCTAAGGAGCGCTTTCCATTCTCAGACACAAGTTCCTTGACGTGTAGACAGATGTTTTCGATTTCGGACACCCGAAGTCTTGTCTTTATTATCTGAAGGCTTCTGTTGTGAAATGTCTATCAGGGCACTGGCAATAGCAAGGCCTAGAAGGAAAGGAGAAAGGTGTTTCAATGTTTGCGTGGACACTGCTTGGATGGTGACAATGGTAGCTTTGAGGTCTGCTCCCTACGGTTTTTACATTCAGTCATACAATGCCTAGTTATACATTGGTCATGGAGCAAAAACTCACACATGAAGAAAAGGATGTAACAAAATTAGTGCATGGTAACCTTGGCCAATCAAATTCAAACATCACACTCAGCTGTGGCTATGGCCTCACACTTTAGTTTCTACCTCTGAATGAATACGAGTTTCTCCAGATGTACCAGGAATTTTTGGTGTGACCGCTAAGACTCATTGTATGAAGATTTATTTCTAAACGAAGAACAGCTTTAGTCTTATGGAAAAATTGAACTAATATCGATATGTGATTGTCAACTGAAGTCAATAGTCCACGCTGGGGTTTAGTCTTTGTGTTGTATAGATCCGAAGGCTTTGGTGAATGCATAACGCTGTGTACCCATCCCCAGAGTGCCAGTCAAGAGCTTCACTGCCCTGAATCACTGACTCAGTCCTCCCCTTCCCGAACCTTCCACCAACCAGAGATCTTGGTTTAAAGACTATAGTTTTCCTCTTCTCTGGATATTATACAGTTGGAATCAAGAAGCATATGCAACCCCTCAGTCTGACTGCTTTCACTTTAAAACACGCATTTGCTCTGCTGTGGACATACAGTGTCTCAAAGGCACACGTGTGAAAGGCTTGGCACCTAGAGTACTGCTCTTAGTGGGAGAGTGTTTTGGAGATGAGCCTAGGGGGAGGTCCTTTCTAGACCATAGTGGTGTACACTTGAAGGGACTGAGGGGCCCAGCTCCTCTCTCTTTTTTCCTCTCCTTGGCTGTATGTATGGTGGCAGTTCCCCTTCCCCTTGCCATGGGATCCCCGCAACAAGAGGCCCAAAGCAATAGAAATGTCTGATCTGAAACATCTAAAACTGTCATTGTTGATTAACTCGTGTTGCCTATATCTGTTTTGGGGGAGAGAGGGGGCTTCATATCTCATTTTCGTTTACCACTGTTGTATGGATATACCACAACTTGTTGATGTTTTCCTCTATTGGAGTGCCTAATTTTAGCGATTATGAATAAAGCTTTTTATAAATATTCACTTTGAGATTTTTGTGCAGATATACGCTTCTAGTTTATGAATACCTATGATTGTGATTGCTAGGTCACATGCTAAACCCATGTCATACATTTCTAAGAAACTTCCAAAATGTTTCCCAATGTGGCTGTTATATTCTAGATTCTGACCAGCAATGAGAGAAAGTTCTTGTTGTTCTATGTCCTCACCAACATTTGGTGTTTCCAGGATTCTGGATTTTAGCAATTCTAATAGGTTTTTACTTCCAATTTTGTAATGACATGTTATGCTGAACATCTTTTGATACTTTTTTTGGCATCTGTTTTTCTTCCTTAGTAAAGTGTCTATTCAGACCATTTTGTCCCTTTGTATTGGGTCGTTTTCTTATTAAGTTTTAAGAGTTTGTTGTACATTTTGGATACCAGTCCTTTATCAGACAGGCACTTTGCAAGTATGTTCTCCCATTCAGTGGCTTTTCTTTTCTCAAGATGTTTTCAAAAACAAGAATGCACTTTGAGGACACTATTGTGGAAGATAAACAAGTTGTTAAAATTTAGCTGTGTTCTGAAATATAAAAAAAGGACTTTGAGGATCATATAACCACAAAAGTGGGTCTGTAGCTATTATAGGTAATTAAAAGAACATTGTCATACCACTTAATTTTGTAGCATTGTTTGTTGGTTGAGAGGCACGTTCAGAACATGCTTAAGAATAATAAGGACTTTATCCAATTTATAAAGGCAATGGTGTAACAGATTTCTAGGCTTATCATAGCTACACATGAAACACTTTAGTTTCTGTTGAATCCCAAAATTCTTGAATAAAACACGATGTCTCAAATTTCTTACTACACCCAGGGCCAAACTGTGCAGGCCGTTTCAGAAGACTCTGGCTCATTTTCTTACTCCAAGGTCTTGAACACATATTTGACTTCAAAGTAAGCTGACCCTGTGACTGAGGCCTCACAGACATTTATATATTTGTTGCTTTAAGAAGAAAACACTTATTTTGGATTTTAGCCCATGTAAGATGTCACTATATTCTTTGGTTATGGATCAATTTATTCTACAGAAGCTTTAAATACAATCTGGAGAGAATAGAATCTCATAGATTTATGAATAGAAAGAAATGCCTATGTCAGCCAGGAGTACTATAAGAGGAAGGTCCTTTGGGCTAGCAGTGTTGGGGAAATCCTGAAAGGGTGGGGTTCAGAAAGTCTGGAAAAGTCACACTTTAGCCAGCAGAGTAAGGCCTGCTTCCAGAGACTGCCAGACTTCTTCACAGAAAAGTCTGGTGAGCTTTGATTCATTTCTGTGTGTAAATGACAATAGAAGCCTGAATGGTAAGCAGGTCCATGTTGACAATGGTTAGCAATAAAGAGATGTTTATCCCTATAGAGAAGGAGCAGTGACAGATGAAAATACCTGGATGCGGCAGCTATGAGTACATGTTTGACATCAAAGGAAAAAGAGAAAAGGAGCCTCAATTACATTTGAAAACAGAAGAGAAAGTATTTGTGGAGAAGGAGAAATTTATGGTATTAGAGAAGGAAGGGATTAGGAAATTACAGTAATCACTGGCTAGGCTAATAATTATTCACACTTTCCTTTAAGAGTTTGCTCTCAAAGTAACTCTTTCAGAAAAGAGTTTATTAAAGATAAAACATACTCAAAGTCTAAATAAAAACTGCATTCTCACCCTTTGACAAGCACTGGGAACTTCTGAAGTCTTAATGCAGATGTCTTAACCATTTACTCTGCTGCAAATAGCTATTTTCTTGTTTCTTTACTTGATGGAGGGGAACAGCATGAACAAAAACTACAGACCAGCTAGAAGTATGTTGACTGAAGGTTCACTTCAAGCAGACCTTAAGTTTCCACAGAACTCTTGGCATACTACTGTGATAATTTCCAACTTCCTGCTAGCTCATCCGTGGCCCCCTCTTGCCCAGAGACAGCCAAATATGACTGATAATATATATCTCCTTTAATGTGGACAGAGACCACTTACACTAATTTCAATGATCACAAAATCCAAATATGAAATCATGTTACTCATTAAACTACTGTATGGATTTGTCCAAAGAAGCTTTGAAAAGAACAGTTTCCATTTACACATGGCTGCAAATGCTGTTTCCCTTACAGAAGATAAAGCTCCAGAAAACAAGTAAACAGTTGGAGTTGCCAAAACAGGAAATTCTATGCTAATTCGCCATGGTCACAGTATCTTTGTGTTTTAGGGTATATGAATTCCATCACCTAATTAAAGCTCTGGTTTGCTCATGATTCTGAAGCTTAGAAATAACCCTCATAAATCAGAAACCATATTGCAGTTCTTAATTTACAAATAAAATTGGAAATCATGCTTATTTTTAATTATGTCAGCTTGTTGTGCTTTCCTGTGCAGATGTAACAACCCAGTGCATTTTAGGTTCCTGTGAACAGCCGTGGGGATGTCAGAAACCTTGCTCCCCTCTGGGCTGAGGTCACCCTGTGTGCTGGAGAGGCTTCTCAGTGTTAAGTTCCAGCTCTTTACCAGACCCTGCTCACGTGATTTGTGCCTACTGCTGCAGCAGCACAACCTGCACAGATCACAACCACTTTTTAGAGAGGATAAAGGAGTCTGCCGGCCACACGAACCAGGCTAGTGCCAGAAAGAAGTTAGGATGGAGAGGGAGGGGAGACTCTGGGTTTTATACCAGCTGCTCACACACACACACACACAAATAAGGTCACTAATCAGAAAGGTAAAGGTCAGGTGGAGATAACATCAACTTCAGATCAGGTGTGCAACTGCTAACTTACCTTGTGGGCTTTCTGGTATCCATCCAGATAGCCTCACCTGGTCTGCCCAAAGCCCATATTCTGATGGACATCCTCGCCTAGCCACATTCAGGCAAGAGTGGTCTTTGCCAAGAACTCAGTTACTAGGGAAGGGTAATTTCACTACCGTGAGTTCTTCTTGTAAATCTTGAATTGAATTATAAATAGCACAGTAATCATAATAAGTGTGTGTGTATTAGCCTCACATTTCTACATCTTTAATACACAGTAGGGTTTGTTTACAACTACCATGAGAGGGTCTGGAAACAAAAGTGAAGAAGATGCACAAGGCCTCTTTCTCCCTGAATTGCATGTGCAGGGTGGACTACTCATTACAGGAGGTAAGGGGTGAGGAAACTACCTATAATTTCTTAACATTGTACTTCAGCACATGGTTATTTTTAAGGAACCTTGTTTTTCTCAATAGTTAAAAAATACAATCAAGATAGTAGCTCTTTGGAAAAGACAATATTACCTCCCTCAATCTCTTATTCATAACACCAATATGCCAGTGAGACATGGCCACATGTACTTAAAAATAGGACTAGATCAGCAGCAATCAGCTCAGAAAAACAGCCCTTTATCTTCCAGGAGCAGCCCAGAAGCCAGCCTTCTGTGAGTCCCACTGGTAGGAATGAACTTTGGGCATCCAAAAGAGACTACAGACTACTACTGTTGTTAGTCACTACTATCTCTAGTAACCATCTATGGGTGAAACACTTAATCTAGATCTTCATGTCTACCAGCTCTCCTAATTCTGTCACACTCAACTCATATTCACCAATCTTCATGTTAACCAGTTTGACAGCTTCCTAAGCCAACATGCTCCCATGTAAACAACCCCAAACATCTTTCTCTGAAACTTTTCTCTGCCTGCCCTCTAGTCTTTGCCAAAACATAGATGGTAGTGACAGACTCCCTTGCTATGGCAAGGTGGGAAGAAACAGCTTTTCATTGTTTCCATTTTTGTTGGTTTTGGTTTATTTACAGACAAGCAATGCAGAGATAAGATTAATTGGAGATCTTTCCCTGGTTTTAAAAGATGTGAAATAGGTTCTTTGTGCTGCCCCTTGCTGCCT